TTCTTTGAAATGCCCATGATGCCCAGTAATTTAATGTCCCAGAAGCATCCCAACTCCTTTGGGGCTTCTTAACCCTTTTTTGTGTGCCAAGAACAATTACGTTCTGCAGTTTGCTGAAGCCTATGAGCACCTTCTCAGAGTAATGCTTGCATATACTGAACACCGGCAACTGGCATTACAGAGAAAAGCAATTACTGAAGTGCAGTAATGAGGGTACTAGAAATTTTAATATGGTAGGCATCCTTGGTTATTAATTAGTGTATAAAATAATAAATATGGTGGTGAGCTTAATAACTAATGTTATTTTGAATATATGAGAGACACAAACAATATTTCCAACCACATGGTGATTGATATAAAAATATCTGCAATTTATGAGGATAACAATGCACAGGACATGCTGAACCTGTATGGCCCGTATACTTTCATGATTAAAATAAATGTTGAGTTTAGTTAGAGGTGAGTGAAAATAAAGATGTAATTGTTTTTTACTCATGTTTGCAGAGCCCCTAAATGGTATCCGTCCCCTGTGTTAAGAATCTTGCCTGAGCCACATGGGGTATTCCTTTAAGTACTATGGACAACCTCCTGGGCTTTTGATTGGCCTTCTAATGAATCTTTAGCTCAAGTTAGGAACAATTATACCTTGAAAATATGGAGTCTTTCTGCTGGTGTTTCTTGCAGACTGCATTTATGTAGTTGTTTTTTTCCTATTTTTCAACAGTTTTTATAATGATCTCCATAAATACCTTGCATCATTTTGTCAGATGCAGTCTTAGAAACCATTATGTTTTGTTGCCATTTGATATTCTCACTTATTTTCTAAGTATGGCTAGTGTTTAAATATAGCATTAGTTTTTGAGCTAATAGCTAAGCAACCAGTTTTGGATCTTTTACCTACATGGCCACATATTCGGGAAGTGTTGACAGTTGCTTTTTGATCTTTTCAGTTCCTGTGTGCTTCATTTTTAAATTTTCTCCTATAAATTATAGGACCCTCAGTGCAGTGTTAACAGAAGTAGTGATGCCTGTGAGTCTTCTTCCTGATTATAAAGAAAATCCTTCTAATATGTCCCCATTGAGTCATGTGCTGGTATCAATTTTTAGCAGCTAGAAGAGCTAACCACTAAATTATCATGAATTGTGTAAGCCAGTGTTAAAATACAGCCATTATTTAAAATTAAGTTACACAAATGTGCAACTAAGCCAAACATATTAAAAATAAGGTAGGTGCCACAGGTAGGGATCCCACCCCAGGGCCTCTGCCACTGTAATGGCTTCAGGATAGGCCAGCAATCCCTGCTGTGCAGGGGAAGCTCTTTGTCTCTTCCTTTTGGCCAAGACCCTCCCTTCCCCCTTCCCTGGGATGTTACTGCTGCAACTGGGTGAGCAGAGAAGCCAGGGTGTCTCTGGATGTGTGAGCCCAGTGGGGGCTCAGTCCAGTGTTGCTAGAATGGGGGAGCCAGACAGCCATAATTCTCACTTCTTGTTCTGTTTTTTTTTTCCCCTAAAATAGCACATTTTAGTTCTGGTGGTCAAGAACCCAAAAAGAGTCTTATGAGGCTAAAATCAAGATGTTGGTAGGTTTGCATTTCTTCTGGAAGCTCTAGGGAAGAATCTTTACCTTGCTTCTTCCAGTTTCTAGAGGACACCTGCATTCCTGGGCTCTTGATCACATCATTCCCACCTCAGCTCCCCTCATCGCATCTCTGAAACTGATGCCCTTGCCTCCCTATTGTAAGGACCCTTGTGATTATATTGTTCCCACAAGGATAATCCAGGAAAACCTCTCCAACCTGAAAGCCTTAAACTAATCTGCAGAGCATTTTGCCATGTGAGATAGCATTCAGAGGTTTGGGGGCTCTGTGCCTGAGAACATAGACAGGTTAGCATTGCTCTTATTTTGCCTACTGTATCACCTCCTTCCACTGCATTTGTGCTGTATTTCTATATGGGTGAGGAGGTCTCAAATCTGAAGAGAATATGGCTAAGAATCTGGACACTTTCTTCAGTTACTTATTATCATTGAACTTCTGGTCTTGGACCAAGACTTGTAACCAGTTTTTCATACCTATGAATTATTTCGTTCTGGTTATAAAAGGAACTACTATTATCTTTTTTTTTGTTTTCAAATGAGAAGACTGGACCAGAGAGGTTAAGCAGAGTTAGTTAATTAATGCTAATTCTACTCTATAATTTGGTTGTTTGAACTGTCTTAAAGTGCTCACCTGTGAGCTGCTGCTTTGGGTCAATTCTCAATTAGGATGATAAAAATCTAACATGGAACAATGATTTTTTTTTTTTTTTTTGGTGGTGCTGGTGATTGAACCCAGGGCCTTGTGCACACAAGACAGGTACTCTACCAACTGAGCTACATCCCCAGCCCTAGAACAACAATCTTAACTGACAAAATATTTTTTCCTTACCCTACAATTAAGAGACTGTTCACAAATGGGACCTTATGCTCCAATAAGTCAATGTGTAAATTGTCTTAACAGAAATTGGAAGTAAAACATAAATTGGACCTTTGGGAAAAAAATACTGGATTCCTGGATCTACTGGTAAATGGGTGAACTTTTGCCAGCTCAGTTCTGTTCTACTTTGGGAGAGAGAGGAAGTCAAATGCCCTTTTTAAACTTGCTCTTTGAGATTCATCTCCTGGATACTGTTTTACAGAGTTAATATAAGAGTTGAGGCAACTTTGCTGAAGATGAATATTACATAATATTAGAAGAGGTTTTTTCTTTCAAAAGTCTTGACTGGCAGATTGTCCTCAATTACCACTTTTCAATCAAATCTATTTGCTTCATCAGAAATGTTTTTTACAATATCCTAGAAATTGAGTTTACTGTTGCTTGGACTCATTTGAGGATTGATGTAACTGCACTATACTTTTCAACAACCCAGACATCAAAGCAGTGTCAATATACCAGATTTAAGCAAAAAAATATGTTGAAGCTCTAGCAGAGGAAAGTAAGAACACAGTGGAAATTGAGACTGGTGCTTCTGTGGCAGGATATGGGATCTGAAAAGACCAATCGCTGTCATTTTAGATGATATTTTGCAATGCTTGGTGAAGCTGGAGAACAAAGTTGGCTATATTGTTTTAATGGCTTCTCCACCAACATAACCAATGGAACTAGTGGAAATTTGGTGCCAGTAACCACAAACAAAAGGATAAATGCATCAGGCACCATTAGATAGCAGTTGAAGATCACCCTGAGCTTCTGCATAGACTATGGATTTTATCCTATGGCAAAAGGGCTTTTTAATTGCCGGCTAGGACAAAAATAATACTTTATGTAAGCTCCATGCATTTTCAAGAAAGGTTCTGGATTCATGGAACTCTTAAATCTGTATATAAAATTTTTATATGTTATTATTTTACTGTCAGGCAAGTATTATATTCTTAAAGGGAATTAGATAACATGGTTAATGTAGTAATAAGGAGGTTGATGATTTTATATAAATTTTTGTGTTTGAGATAAAGCTGGAATAAAAACACTAAAAGACATATTCATTTCTATAGATTATTTATTTAAGTATATAACATATTTTTTAGACAAGTGGAGAATATTGTTATTGAATCATTCTATCACTTGTTCTCAGTAGATGTAACTATTTGACTAAAACTATTAGAAAATGTGCTTACTTCCAGTAGTATATTTTGTAACTAAAATTAAAAGTAACTAAAGTATTCATGATTTTTCACAGACATGAGTGTTGCTTTAAAAGTTCAACCTCTTAGCTGGGTGCATTGTTGCATAACTGAAGTCTCAGCTGCTTGGGAGGCTGAGACTGGAGGATCAAAAGTACAAGGCCAGCCTGGGCAACATAGTGAGACCCTGTCTAAACAAAACAAAACAAAAAGGATTTAACCCCTTGAGAATTTATGTGATGTAGAATGCATATTATTTCTTCATTGGGATTATTTTGCTTTTGTTATGTTGGTGGAGAAGAGGGGACACTTGAGGATTTTAACCAGATATGCATGGGAATTTGTGCTGCATAAAATTGCTTAGAAAATGCATTACTTGATGTTATTTGAGTATTAAGATTTATGAATTTTTCTGATTAGGCTTTCATTTTATATAATGACCACTTAAAATAATTTAAAACATTTGAGATATAATTTAAGTTATAAAGATTGCCTATCCTTTCACTAAAATAGCTACTGTACGTAGCATAAGAAATCTCAATCTTGGATAATTCTAGTGTAGAATGCAATACACCTTTATTTAATTTTCCTTGTAGCAAATCTAATCACTATATGGTGCCCTATATGTCATAGTATTTATTCTCTATAATACCTGCTGAAGTGCAGCTAGCTTCTATATTTAGGCTATATTGAATTTAGTTTTAGATATTATATTTATTATTATCATATGCTACCGTAAATAGCAGCAATAATTATAAGTTTTATTAAAATAAGTGTTTGAAAATATTGTTTCATAAAAGTGATTTCCAAACTGTCTTTTCTGTACCTTTATGTGAACAAATTAATTGTATACCATTGCCAGGTGAAGTTTGGAATAATTGGTCTCTCTGGTGAGATGTAGACATTTTGGTTTCTTGTTTTCATTTTCAGGGATAAATAAAGTGTTATTTGTACTTATAAAAAATATGGGTAATCAATTATCAAAACTCATCTCTCACTGCTTCTTTCGTGCAGTCTTGCTGTTACCCCTGCTCTTCAGGCTGTTTATATGTCTTCTGCATGCATGGTGGAAATGCTGTGTTGTGGGTGACTGCATGCCTTCCCAGCCCTGGGTTCAGGAACATCACACTGAGGGCTTTGACTTGACCATGTTGGAAACAGTTATACCCAGGCAATGACAGAGGCTGGAAGCCAGGGCTTTGATTTTCCTTATTAGGCTGTTGTTAGACATAGAATAATGTGCTTATGATCAAGACTGCTACAAGTTCTAGTCCATTAACTAAAAAAAGAAAGGAGAGAAGGAAGGAAGAGGAGAGAGGAGAGCTTCTCCCAGTGTGCTTACCTGAACGTGTTGCTTTTCTCTGCAGACAACATGATGCTCTGTTGGCCTCTGCCTTGCCTGGGGTCCTTCAGTGGCTCATCAGACCTGTCCAGCAGCCATGGCCTTGGGTTTGCAAGTGTAAATCCGAGAGATGGTGAGTCAGCTGCTGTCTCTGCTCCTTCCTCAGAGAGAGCTTGCATCTTTAGTTATTTTTCATTACTATAGTCAAAAATTAATTATTTGCATTTTAATGAATTTGAAGAAATTGGATTTTTATGTTATTTTCTGTTTGCTTTCTTTTTATTATAAATTTATTTTATTTTTAGATAGATTTCTTCCTTATTGGTTGCCAGTAAATGCTCATAAAAAATTAAGGCAGAGGGAATTATTAGGGCCTCTGCATTTTTTCCAATTATATCATCTAGAAGAGGCCACAGAAATGGTACTAGTCAAGTAAGCTTATCATGAAAAACTCAAATATATAAGTACGTAAATGAGCCAATGTCAGTGCCACTGGGGTTAGTCAACAGGTCACCACACAATGTCTGTGTGACTGGAAGAGTCCATGGCTGCTGATGGGATTTGACCACCATCCCAGGACATCACATGGGAGGAGGCCAGGGGAAGGCTGTGCTGACAGTAGGAATTCTTTCCCTAGGTAGTGTAAAGGAAGCTGCGGGCTTGCTTTGTGGAGATGTTCCTTTTCATCACAACACTCCAGTGTCATTGAGTAAATTACCTTTTCTGTTGGATAAGTAGTAGTTCAGAGGATTACATCAGTGAATACAATTAAAAATAAAGTGCTCTACAACCTTCTAAAGAGGTAGACTAATTTTTCTGTGAAAAGTGAGCTAATTCATTCAGGCAGTAGAGCTTAAAACTATCTGTCTCCTCTAAGTGAGTGTTTGTAAATATTGTAAATGATAGAGTTCAAAAATGGCCAGTCAACTCTCTGTTTTGTCTTCTTCAACACATCTGGAGATAAGTAAATATTGGTGATGTAGCCTTGGAGTTGAGTATTTTCTCCCTTTATGTAGTATTCCAAAGATGTGGGCTCAAGTATGGCTTGGGTTTAATTTTATCCCTTATAAATCAAGCATGGTACTTAGTAAGTGGTCAAATAGATTGGCAGGAAAGGGTTGACACAAGGGATTGAAGAACATGCCCTTCATTATCCACTCTCATCAGTTTTTGCCATAAAGTAACATTTTTGGCTTGAGGTTTATGTTTAAAGTATCGTTTAATCATTTCTAGCATGCCAATAAAGATACATTCTCACTGAAGCCAGATTTTAGCTAACTGTACTGTTATCAAATTGCTATTTTTGGTCTGGTGATTACTTTAGTATTGTAACAAGGAGCATGAATATCAGGTGGGTTCTTTATCTTGCCAAGTTGAAGGATGAAATCCATGAACACAAGGGTGAGAGAAAAGTAACAGGATTTATTAGACTAACATAAATAAAGCAGAACTCCCAAAGATGAAGAGGTGTCTGTTGTCTAGGTGTTTTCGTGGGCTTGATCTGTCCCTGTAGTTGATTGGTGGAATTATAGAGTTCAGAAATGGCCAGTCAACTTTCTTTGTTTTGTCTTATTCTTCACATCTGGAGATAAGTGATTTCTAAGCCTTTGTTAGCACAAGGGTGGGGGTGAGGGTCTTTTTGGACAACACAAGTACCTTTTATGATTGGTCATGTCTAGGGGCTGTTATGAAACTGTCCTTGTGGCTCTGAGTAGCTGGGGTCAGAACTTTGATTTCCCAGTCTCTTTTACACTTTTCCTTCCCTCAAGACCCTTTACCTGGTTGTTCATGGGTGATCTTTTTTCATACCAACTTAACATCTAAACTTCCCAGTAGTTGTAAAGATTATAATAACCAAGTAAACACTTTAATAATTTTAAAGAAGCCCAAGGGCCTTGCATGTTATGTTTCTGATATGCAGAGACAGAAACCCATTATGATTTAGGCTCCCCTGCAATGAGTACTGTGAAGGTTGTAAAAAAATCTCCTAGTTTCGGATCCACTTATTTCCATTGTATTCAATTTTTAAAAGTTATCAGCTCAGAATATGATAAGCAGTCTTTATGAAATGGTAGTACAAAATTTAACTTGTGTATTCAGACTACTTTCTTTGCATATTTAAATTAGTTGTTTTGTAAGACAGTAGCAATTAGCTGATGAGGTTTAATGTTTAGGATTGCTACTCTGATTGCATGTAATGTGTGCTTCAATAAATATTCCTGGTATTGCTACCAGACTTTATGCTCATTCCTGAAGTGTGATTTACAAAGCTCAATATATCAACATTTCTTCTGAAGGATTATCTATGTGTTTTATTTATATAATTTTGTGTTTTTACTCATTTATTTATTTATATTGCATTCTATTGATTTATGAAAAGTAATAAAATATTCCTTAGCAACACATTTGTGACAAAAGAGGAAAGGGGTCTTATGAAGGGTACTAAGAGGGCTGAGTAGAGAATTTTGGAAAGTTCAGGTGTCTCCAGGTACCAAGGGCAGATAGGCAACTCCCAAAGGGCTGAGCATCATGGCCAGTGATTTTGTGGCCACACTTGAGCCAGTGTATTTTACAAGTTCCCTAATGGAAGAGCTGGTTATTGTAGAGACAGTAATGGATTAATATTATCATTCAATATAGAATTAAATGCTCTTTTGGTTTATGCAAGCATTTGGGGAAGCAGAAAAGAAAAAATAACCTTAATGTGATTCTTCTGACACAATATGCCTTATCTTTTTATGCCAAGAAACATACATTTTAAAATGTTACCATCTCAAAATGGTTGAACTAGGGCTGGGGGTATAGCTCAGTGGTAAAATGCTTGCCTAGCATGTCTGAGATCCTGGGTTCAATCCCCAGCACCACACACACACACACACACACACACACACACATACACAATGGTAAACTAAAAAATTTTTAAACTGTTAGATTTTAAGAAGTAAAACTTACAACTACCTGATAAAATTGATGTCATTAGCTATAAATGTAACTTTCTAAAAAAATTGATTTTGACTGTTCACTTTGCTTCCATCAAAATTAAATTGATATTTCCTAAAATTAAAAAAATATTTAATATATCTCATACAAAAGAAGATTGCTGAAATTTATGCATTCTAAACAAGAACATGCTATAATATTTAGTTTTTCCTTCATAACCTCCTTAAGCCAGGCATGGTGGCACCTGCCTCTGATCCCACCAGCTCTGGAGGCTGATGTAGAAAGAATGAGAGTTCAGTCAACCTCATCAGCTTAGTGAGGCCTTAAGTAACTTATCAAGTCCCTGTTTAAAAAAATTAAAAAGGGATTGAGAATATGGCTGAGAATTTAAGGGCTTCTGGGTTCATTCCCCAGTACAAACAAACAAACAATAAGAAAAACAAACCCAAAACCTCCTTAAGAAAACTTGTATTCGAAATTTATACAGACAAAAGTAAAAAATCAAGTGCCCAGAAAAATATCTCCAAAAGTAGCCATTTGAGACTTTCATTCCACATTTTGCTTGTTCAGGGAGTTCCTTTTTCTGTGGTTATTGTTGCTCTAGGGATCCTGGATCCAGCTGGTTCAGAGCATTCCAGATGCTCTACCTTCAAACCTTCAGTGCCATTTTCTTATCCCATCAGTCATGGTGCCTGAGAGTTCAGGTTGGTGAAGAGAGCCATAGTTTTGGCAGAGGTGGTTGAAATCAATTAGAAGAATTATATTGAGGGTTTTTTTTTACTGTTCCGTACCACCAAATGCTTGCATAAATGCTCTGTTACAGGCATGGACTGCTCTGTTCTTAACTCAGATGGTGAAATCATGGTCTCTAAAGCCAAAAGTGCTCACCTGCAGGGGAGACCTCCCTGGAGACAGTGGAAATTGTCAACTACTTTGATTAGAACTCTATAAAGTAGCATTTAAAATACAGTATCATCATGGCTGGGTGTGACGGTACATGCCTGTAATCCCAGTGGCTTGGGAGGCTGAGGCAGGAGGATCTCAAGTTCAAAGAAGCCTCAGCAAAAGCAAGGTGCTAAGCCACTCACTGAGACTCTATTTCCAAATAAAGTACAAAATAGGGCTGGGGATGTGTCTCAGTGGTTGAGTGCACCTAAATTCAATTCCCAGTTAAAAAAAAAAACATTATTTATGACACAACATAAAGTAGATGGAGACAAATGGAACTGATTGAATTGTTTATTTTTTTCTCTGTAATTCTCAGCCTTTTCAGCACTGAGCAATCGAGCATATTTCCTCAGATCATGAAGACTGTCCTCATCTGTTGTTGGAACCAGGAAATAATTTGCCTAATACTTTTAATACTGTAATTATTTTAGCATTAAGATACTTGTCTCTCATTCTCATATAGTTATTAGTATAAATTTATATTATAGGCATCAGCAAGATAAATAAATAAAAGTGATTAGATTGGGAGAAATGTTTAGATTTGTCCTTAAGGTATCACATGGCTTCTTACAACATGGGACTCTGATTATGTGAACTCTGAAATTTCCCAAATAGTATATTATATAAAATTCACTGAATTCAAGAAATGTTTTTTAAAAACTTGAAATAAATAATTTAAAATATCTAAACTCCTGCTATAAATCAGCAATATCATCATAGATGTTCAATGCAAATCTTTCCCTTACATTTTTTTTCCCACAGAATCTAGGTTTTTGTTTTTTGGTTTGTTTATTTGTTTTTTTTTTTTTGTTGTTGTTGTTTTTTTTGTAATTCCATTGTTAGGCATAGGCAGGAGTCTGGTGGAATTGGCCTGTGTTCCATCCAATGGGTCAATTCAAATCACGGTAAAGGGACTTGCAAACCAGATTTGTATAAAGGCAAATAAAATACAGGGAATTTTTTGTTTTTGTATATCAGATACTTAATTTCATTTATTTGTTCTTCCTAAAAATTTTAGACCTATGAGGGCCAAGTAATGTTCTATTTGAAGCTACCATTTTTTTTCCTGAAAAAAAAAAATTCTTAAACCCTTCAAATGCACTACATGTGTGAAGTGCTGTGGACAGGCTAAAGGTTAAAAGCGTGTATGTTAAATATGTCTATGTGCTGGTACACAGAAGCCTCTCTTGGAAGCCATGTAACTTTATTTAGTCAGTTTTTATGAAAAGCGATAGAGTAGCACCTGGGGGTAAAGCTCTGAAACAACAAAGTTTGGACAGAATGTCCTGGAGATACAGCATGGAAGGGAAATGCTCTTGTTCTTTCCTGCTCCCTCACTAGCTTCAGAGCCTCCATATTCTCCATTAAGCCAAAGTTAACAGATGAGACAAACATAAATAACCAGCCATATTTGTTTTTAGTGTTGTCAGCAACCTTCAGGGAAGCAGTGTTGGGTGTGATGTTTGTCTAACAACTATGCCAAATTATAGAATCACTCCCAGAATCCAGGCTCTGCTGGACTCAGTTGCCTCTTCTGGAGGGTTGAATGCTCAAATTTCTTAGTGCTTTTCCTTCTTCTTTGCAAGATGGTTTTTGGATGCACGAGACAGTCTCCTGCCTTCGTGGAACTACAAGATAGGAGGACACATCCTGGTGTGTCAGCCCCTCATGTTTGTCCTTGGTTCTTGCTGTGTGCTGAGGGAGTTTGATTGGCCTTAACCTGGAAGGCAGAGAATCCACATGTGTCTCTTCTCTCCCAAGGTTCTCACAGACATTAACAAAGTACAAATATCATACTATCCTTACAGAAAATGTTTTTCATAACATCCTCTGGAGAGACAGCTACAAAACAAAGCCTGGGTCAGTGGCCAGGGCAGAAGTGGAATGTGAAGAAAGTGGAAGGAGAGGACAAGGTGAAACCAGGGCTGCTGGGTGCAGGCTGTGGGGGCTTCCAAGGAGAGGGTGTCTGTGCTGAGCCAGGAAGGACTAGTAGCTGTTTTTCAGATGTAAAAGAGGAAAGGGTTACAGAGACAATACACTATACAAATAAAAAGGTTGGAGGCTGGTTGGAGGAGCTACAAATAATTTTTATAACAAGAAACTTTCACTGATTTCATAACAGAAAACTGCTTTATGAACTAAAATGATTCAAGACGAGTTGAACATTTTGTATAGGTATAGGATTCAATTTATATCAAGTAGTTCTCCCTTATCCTTGGTTTTGCTTTCTGTGGTTACAAGTACCCAGTCAACTATAGTCCAAATATAGTATATGGAAAATTCCAGAAATAAACAATTCATATAGTTTGCATAACTCTTATTACTGTGTGCTATTATAATTGTTCTATTTTATTAGCATTGTTTCTCTCTGACTGTGTCTCATTTACAAATGAAACTTTACCCTAGGAAAAGTTTGCTGTGTCCCACACAGCAAGGGATCAGTAAACCAAATGGAGGTGTGAACTGGTTGAGAAAATTAAAGGTCTAAAGAAATGTTTAGAAATAAAAACAAAAACATGAAAATAGTTTAACAGTGGGAGCATGGTAGGTGGATCAGATCTTAAGAGTCTGATCTCTTAACAAAGAAGAAAAGCCCAACACCTTTTATTTATAGGAAAGCATATCACAGAGATTTATTGTAAGAGAAAAACTTCTTCAAGATAAACAAAGGGCAAAGTAGAGCACCAGGAATAGGTTAATTGAGGCTCATCTACTTGTGCAATATCTTCTTCTAGCTCTGGACACCTAGGTGTGTATGTGGAGGAACAAACACAGTATATGTGGAAGATAGTATTACCTGCAGTTTCAGACATCCACAAATGGTCTTGAAGTACATCCTTGCAGATGGGGAGGGGGACCACTGTATTCCTCCTAAAACAAAGCTGGCATCTTTATATAAGTGCACATGGGAGAAGTAACCTGAAATATAATGAGAAGAAGGAAAATAAATCAAGAGCAAACCTTTGTTTATCAGGAAACTGACCCCCAGGGAGCAGAAGAGAAAGGAGTGAAGCCAGGGCTTGCATGGGTCTTTTCCTCTCTGCAGTGAAGGGACAAACACAAACCTTGCTTCACAGGATGATCTAGGCCAACCAAGCTACTCTGCTATAAAGTCATCAACTTGATCATTGTGCTGAATAAGGATAGATACAGAGCTGGGATCAAAGCCTCACACTTAAACCCTGAAATTATTGTGGGCAGTGCAGTGGGCAGGAAGCCCTGCTGCATTTCTGGGCAGCCATTTGATGGGAGCCCACCTTCCTGCTCTGGCCAAGGATCTGCTAGGGGTATCTATTGACTTAATGATGGTCTCACCGGCTCCAGGCTCAGAGCATACAACTGCACCAGCCTGCAGATCTGGGAGCCAGGTCATGGTCATGGAGGTGCCTTGACCAAAAGCACCACTGTATCCCACCTGCTGGATGCTTCTCTGTTATCTCAGCCACCCTGAAATTTGAGTACTGAAACATATGACTTATGATGCAGAATGAGAATCTGTCAAAAATTGAGCAGCAGTCTACACTTCTCTGATGACTGGAAGCACCTTAGAAGTAATCTCTTCCCACTCCAGGATGAAGAGGAGAGGACTCCTGATGCACACTCTTGCCTCAAATACCCACATTCTAAGACCCAGAGAGATGGAATCCTTCATTCCCTAGCTGGAGTAGGAGATTCCAGAGGAAGGACTGGCCATCCCAAGTCTGTCCTCCGGGGAAGGTGTCACCTTAGTCCCACCCTTTTTTCCCCCTTCACACATCTAGAGGGAACAGCATGGTGACCTCTAAGAACAAGTGAGGCTGGGCATGGTGACTGGAGATTTTCTTCTTATGAAACTCCCTGCCATTCCCTGATGGGGATGGGCAAAAAAGTATATAGGCTGCTCTTAGAACAGGGATCAGGTTTCCAGAAATTGGTGCTATTGTAGTTTGTTAGGGCTGCCTGTAACAAAGCACCAGAGATTGAGTGACTTAAACAGCAGAAGTTTATTGCCTCACAACTCTAGATGTTGCAAATCTGAGATCCAGGTGTCAGCAGCATGGTTTCTCTTGAGGCCTCTCTCCATGGCTTGTAGATGCTGTCTTCTTCCTAGGTGCTCACATGGTGGTCTCTCTGTGAGTGTCTGTGTCCTAATCTCCTCTTCTTAAAGTGATACCAGCCAGACTGGATTAGGGACCACTGAAAGAGCTTCAACTTCCCTCTTTAAAGGTTCTGTCTCCATATATCATTGCATTCTGAGGTCCTGGAGGCTAGGACTTCAACATATGAATTTGAGGAGAGGCACATCAGGTGGGCCAGCTGTGGCAATCCTTTAGTTATTGTACCCATGGACAGAATCATGGTTTAGAGAGATTAATGGCCATAATTTCAAATCATATGTTTCTTTTCCATTCATCAAAAATAAACATTATTCATAACTTATCAGTTATTCTGGTGGGTCCAACGTCATTACAAGGGTCTTAAAATGAAGAAGAGATGGGATGTTGGGTCCCTGAGGAACTGATTCCCTGAGAGCTTCACCAAGGGGCAGCTTCAGCCAGGCTGTGTGCCTGAGGAGGCATGGACACCAGGGATTGCCGGGGACTTGTGAACTTGTGAAGACATGACTCCATTTCAAACTAGTGGGTCCTGACACTTGTGAAAGTCTGTGGCCCTGTCCCTCTCTGGGAAGTAACTGCTTGTGTCTTGCAGGGGTGCGAATTCCTGGTGGCAGAGTACAGGTAGTTTCTTGAGCTTACACCTTTTGTCTCCATGAAAGTTCAGAGAGTTTTCCAATCTTGTCAGAGAATGTTTTTCAAACATCTAAATGTGTGGGTTTTTTTTTTTTTTAGTACAATCATGCTATGAAGCTATATCCCAAAATGTGGAGTCCCATCCCTGTATTTTCTCTTTGGCTCTGTAGAAGGTGTGAATGCACACAGTTGGTGAGGGTCACTACTCTGTGGTTATTTGTTTCTTGCACTGATAAATCTTCCAGAGATTTATCAGTATATTGATATTTTTAAAGAACTACCTTTTGGTGTCATTGATCTTTCTTTGCTGTTTTTAATTTTATTGCTGTGTTATTATCTTTAATGTTTCTTTCTTCCTACTTGCTTTGGGTTGAATTTTTGGTCTTTGATGTCTAATTTCTCAGAGCAAAGAGTTAATTGAGTAATGTTTTTGAGATTTTATTAATTAATTGAGTTATCTTTTTCATAATGTGGGCATTTCAGTACTATACATTTCCTTCTAATCACTGCCTTCATCTGTAACCCAGAGTTTGATATTTTGTTTAGTTGAAAATATTTTCTAAATTTCCATGAGAATTCCATGGGCCATTTAGAATTGAGCTGGTCAATATGTGTTTAAAGAATTCATTGTTATCTTTCTCTTAGTGATTTCTACATTAACATCAAACCATATAAAGTGTTTTATGTGACTTTCATTTATTTAAACCTACTAAGATTTGATCTGAAATGCAAGATGTGATCTGTTCTGGTTCACTTGGCAAGGACATGTACCCTGTGCATTGAGTGGAGGGTCTATGAAAGTCCACTCTGTGCACTTGGCTCCTGGTATTGTTCTTGTCACTACCCTTGATGATTTTCTATCAGTTTGATTGATGACTTGGAGAACAGGATCAAAATCTTCATTTTTATCTTATGAATTTGTCACATTCTTCTTCAAGTTCTTTCAATTTTCTCTTCCTGATTTTCAAGCTCTGACATTTCACATTTAGGATTATTGTGTCTTCTCATAAAATGACTCTTACCTCATCATGGAATGCCCCTCATTCTCCCTGGTGGTGTTCTTTGTTCTGATGTCTATGTGTGTACCATTCATATAGATGGTTCAGTTTTCTTTTCATTAGTGTTTGCATGGTATGTTTTCTTCCAGCTTCTTCTAGAGCATTTAAAATTGTTATTCTTAAAAGTAATTCTGACATTCTTTGTACATGGATATTCTCTATATGTAGAGTTAGGTTCTCACTGTTACTATAGTAAAGCAATAATATATAGTTTTGTGGTTTTTTTAAAAGTATTTATTGAGTTGTAGATGAGCACATATAGTATCTTTGTTTTTTTATGTGGTGCTGAGGATCGAACCCAGTGTCTCACACTTGCGAGGCAAGCGCTTTACCACTGAGCTACAGCCCCAGTCCCATTTTTGTGGGTTTTTTATTGTGTATATTTTATTTTTGCTTAGGCAGGTTTTGTTGTTTTTTAAATTTTTTTATTTGTGTTTTTCTTTGGCCAACAATTCTAATTCTAGGAACTTCATTTTTTTGATGTGTTATAATTAAACATAATAGTGGATTTCATTGCTATGTATCTGTTTGATCAATTTTATTTCCCAGCATCTCCCCTTTCCATCCCTTCCTCCTGCTCCCTTTCCTCTACTGTACTGGTCCGCCTTCTATTATCTTTAAAAGCAATCTGCCAGTCTGTGTTTTGACTAATGTGCTTAGACATTTGCATTTAATAAAATCATTGATCTATTTGGATTTAGCTACTTATTATTTGTTTCCCATTTGTGCCATATGTTTCTGGTTTCTCTATTTCCCTTTTCTAACTTCATTTGTGTAATGTGAATAGGTTTGGCTGTTGCACTGTTTTTTGTTTTGTTTTAGTTTAATCATTTTTATTTCAAGTATACTTTTAAAATCATAAATGGAGTTTTATAATCCAAAGCTGAAACATTTATTTTCATTACTTTAGAATCTCACAAGCAATTCCAGACCATACTTTGTAAATTCAGTCTTTTTTGCTGTTTTTAAGACTTCTGAGACTAAGATATTACACTCACTACTCCATTCTAAATGTACAATTTTAGATAACTACTGTACACTTGTTGGTAAGAGAGTTTTTTGAAAACAGTTCATCAAATATAAAGAATGGTTTCCATCCAAGGATCAGCAATGAGGGGAAAATATTAAACACCTTTCAAGAAAACATTTATTCGTTAAAAAAAACAGAACAGAAACAATGAGTTCTTTGTCATAAAACATAACATATAATATTAATCTAAATTTTTTGTAGCCTTTGGTAATATCAACCCCACCCCAAGGCCTCAATCTTATGTACTTAATTTTTTAATGCAAAGTCACCACTGGAATTTCCTGGAAAAGAAAAAAAATTCCCAGTTGTTATTTCAAAGATGAATAGGTTATTTCTAAGGAAAAGAGCTGCCCTGGTAATTTCTCTGAAATGCTCATTTTATTTTTTTTTCAAATGTTCGTTTTAAATGAAAATAGTTAATGGAAATATTTTTTAAAACCAACTTTGGGTACTATGCAGCGTACTACTCATTACACAAAATAGGAAATCAAAACTTTTCTAGGAAAATTTCTACCTTTACTTTAAAGATTACAACTTACTCAACTTTTTTCCCTTTGATACATACACATGTGCACGTGTGCACAGGAGCACACCCTCCCCCATACACTCACTCCCAAGTAAGACAATTTTTTGTGTTTACTTATAAATTATGAGAAATATGAACTAGGTGTGCACAGGGTTTCATAGGTGTGACTGCAAGATGAGAGACACAGACTGTCAAACCAATAATTATTGCTGAAGAACTGGAGCAATGACAAATCTTTGGCCCAGCTGAATGAAGGCTGTATTCTTTCTCACATCACTTAAAGGAGGGACTGGAATGGATTACTTACACTGTGACTCAGCAAGACATCTACTCTGGTGCCCAGGTACACAAAAAGACATAAAAGTTGCATCTGCAGCAGCACTATTTCAACTAGCAAAAAAACTCAGATGCAAATTGAACTTGACTAAATTACATGTTGGTATATCCATTTAGTGGAATACTCAATGGAAGTTAAAAATAATAAGCCACATTGTCTCAACAAGGGCAAATGTAACCCATAATTTTATTGACTAGAATGAGCAACTTGCAGAAGCATACACACACTGCACCTGCAA